ATAATCAGCTGTTCTAAACTTCCTCATTGGAAGCCACGAAAAAGCGGTGGGTTTTTCGAGAAGTTGTTGATCGTGTAATTGCCGAAGAGCCTTTCGTCTTTGTGTAAGTGTTGTTGAAGCGTTTGGCCTAGTAGATTGTATATCAGCATACCCTTCCAGGCTCTGAAGAAGGCGATACTGCCGAAACGTCAGCTCGCGTTGTATTGTATTGCCTTGTAGATTGTATATCAGCATGCCCTTCCAGGCTCTGAAGAAGGCGATACTGCCGAAACGTCAGCTAGCGTTGTATTGCATTGTGGTTTCTTGTGGAAGTAAATGTATGCTGTTTAAAAACCTCGCGATTGCTGAACAAGAAAACGACACATTCATATTCCAATGCCGAGGTTAACAGAAAGTCGATCCTGGGAACGATAACAACTTATATTCGTAGCAACTGAATCATTCCTCTGCTAACAAACTGTTAAAGGTGAAATCCTTCTTAAGATGTACTCACACTAAGAGAAGCCACAAAAAATATCGGTACTCTTGATCTAGTGGTGTTGATAACAAATTCATCGAAGACACTGTGATCAAACGAGGTTGGCCATGAGGCTACACAGAACAGGCTACACATCGTCGTAGCAATGATTGTTGGAATGATGAGAAGGTAACGAAGCCGACCGCCATTATGTAATAGGAACATCGACCTAAATTGTTAGAAAGAAGTAAAGACCACTGGAAAACAGACTGATTTAGGGCATGACAAGTGCAAGCATACATATGACGATGTGAAGCACAGAAGCTAAGCTTAGTAAGCAAAAGCTTAGAAATAAGTTAAAGTTTGGAAAATCCTTAAAATACCTAAACATATTGCTCTACATTGTTTTCTAATATAGTTTTTTTTTTACGTTTCTGCCTTACCTTAAATAGATTGGCCTTAAACAACGAAGAATTTATAACAAAAGTGACATCAGTGGATGAAAAAATATTAAATGAAATTAGATGTAAATAAAAAGACTAATACGTTTACCATCTTACCTGCATATTTGTAGATATCGAAAGATAAATAAACATGGAGGGATCAAGATTGATTGGTAAAGTAGGAGCAGAGATAAAATGACGGCGATCACAGTGAATTGTCGCGGTAGAATGAAACCGTCTCCAATGATCAGTACTGAGTCCAACTGTCTCAAAGCGAAGACTGTCTTAAAAATTAAACATATATGTATATAAATACGTGCATATATATATATATATGTATATATGTATATACAGGGCGCTTGAGGCGTAGTGGTCGGAAGCGCCCTGTAACACACACGTGGAATCGATCCACGCCCTCATGGCCCACCAAGCCTCCCACCCCTCTGGGGTCGGAAAATTGGTACCAGACTTGTCTGGGAGGATAGCAGCACTGGTTCGATACATCGGTAGCCTACCGTGAGTCATTGTAGAGGCCAGATATGAATTCAATCACCTTCAAACGATGTTTAATGAAGTCGAATTCGTAGCGCATCCCTCTGGGATTGATCAACGCCGAAAGCTTCATCATTCATCATATATATATATATATATATGTATATATATATCGTTTAGTACTGTTAAAAGAAAGTCATGATCGATTAATGTGTTGTTTCACACTGAAGCATTCATGGGATTCGAAATGGGTCAGTCGATTAAAAACAGTTACAGTAATCTTTCACAGAAACTTTACTAAGATGGGGTGCGTTCCTCATAAGATCTTGCATGAAAAGGCTTTACGATGTTGTTTTGCTTATTTATAAGAATTTTCCATCTTTTTGAAATGGCTGAGAGCTTTTAAAGAAGGCCACGTCCAATTTCTTCGATTATTTTAGGTCCCATTGCTCTACCTTTATTTATCTGAGAAGAAAACCTTGCAAACGTACCGGATGGGCGAAAATAGTTGTGAAGCTGAACAAAACATCCAATAGAGATGAGGCGATCATCAAGTATTTGTATGTGCCAATAGGTGTCAATGAGCGTTTAAGAAGTACATAGATTAAAGTGGCGTTGAAAATAATCGATAGGGCACCAAATAGATAGAAATTGATTGATGAAGTTAATGTGACTTCGAATAGTCTCATTGCACAAACCTTAAACAGACAGTGATTAGTATTGAAAGCTCGATGAACTAAGGTCATAAAGTTTTTTTGCGACAACCTAATGTTATTCATGAGAGCTCATTGTGAACAGCAGCTTGCATTGTTTTTCTAATAATATGGGAAAAGGGCATTGTGGTGTACTTTATTGAATTGTCTAAGCAATGATATAACAATTGGATCTGACTGGAATGGAGATAATGATCGTGAATAGAACACTGAAGAAAATGAGCGGAAAAGTAGCTGATGGAGGTGAGCAGGTAAAAAAAAATAGTTTCTGCTGTAAACCTTCTTGTTAGATTGCAGCAAAAATAATGAAGACTAAGACTCTATTCTTCATTTTGATTCACTAAAGTTTTTTTTTTGAAATGGCGCTAGTGGCACAGTGGCCGGAGGCGCACTGCAACGCACACATGGAATCGATCCCTGCGCCCCTGGCCCACCAAGCCTTCCATATTTCCGGGGTCGCCAAATTGGTACCAGACTTATTTTATGCCTATTTTATGCACTCTGGCTCTGTATAATTGAATTATAATACAAACTGTGTTGTTGACAAATTTCAACATCAATGAGATATAAAAGACACTGTTAACGAACGCATAGTGGGAGGTGCGTATGAAAAATTTCGTAGTGGCGAAATTGACCTTGAAAATGAAGGGGATAACGGAAGCCCTTTTGCTAATGATGACGATGAACTAAGCGGTTCCATGAGGGTGAATTTATGCAGTCCTTCGAGATCTTGCAGAGGTACTCAAAGACGCAGTTCGTTTATTTCGGAGCATCTAAGAAATTGCAAAGTGGAAAAAGACTGAAATGGTTTGGAACAAATCGAACAGCTATCAATGAAATCGCTGCTTTAAGATGCCGTTTGCGCTTCTTCTGTGCAAACAAGAACGACTTGTTTTTCTACCGTTTTGTGAGGTGGGATAGAAAAAGAGAATGAAAAGGATGAATAATACAAAGTAAATGTGAAATAGAAAATGAGAATGAGAAAGGTGAATGATAGAAAGCGAACGTGGTGTAGAAAATGAATTAACTAAAATGTAACCTGCTGCGATCAGATTACTGGTTCGACCACGATGAAGCTCCGTCACTGACCATTTGCTGATTTTGCTGCCGTTTTAGTTCATCACAACTTGCCCTACTTTGGAGAAAAGATTACAGCAGAGTATGTTCAACATATCGACATTATGCACCAGAAAGATCAACGGATGTGCTCCGCATTAGTCAACAGAAAGTGACCAATCCTTCTGAACGATAATGTGTAGCGATGTATTGTACAACCGATGCTGTAAAAGTTGAACGAGCTGGCCAAGAAACACTCCTTCATTTACACTCCATACACTCTGGTTCTCTCATGAGGGCCACCACTTCTTCAAGCATCTTGGCAACTTTCTGTACGAGAAATGCTTCGGAAATCAAACCGAGACCACAACTACCTTCCATACTTTATGGCTTTCAGAGATTCAGAATTTTATGCGTCAGGTATAGATAAACTTGCTTCTCGTTAAGAAATATGTAAACTGCAAAGGTCTATTTCGATTGACAAAGTTTGTTTTGAGCTGTGATATGCCACCTTTACAATACAGGGTGAATCTGGACATTAATTTCGGAAAGACCTAATATCACTGACACTGCTCTCGTTGAGAAAATTTTGCTTAAATTTTATTTATTTATTTATTATTTATATAATCATATTTAATTCATTTATAAAATTTATCATTGCAGATTTGATGCAAAACAAATCCTTTCTGTTAGATCAGAAAAAAGGTGATTTTATTCTCAGTCATTTGAAGAGTCTTTCCCTTCTGTTTATGAAAATGAATATTTTAATTGCGCTGTTTTGAAAAAGTCATACTAATGAATGAAAACATAATAAGAGTTAACTTCGGCAAGAGCAAACAAATATCGAAAATAACACGAGGTCACGGGTGGGAGGAGTTGCACACGGGTTGGGAGAAATGAATGGAATACAGTGAATTAGGTTAGTGCTCCAGTGGTTACGGGATAATTTGTTAAAGAGTTTATGCAAGAAGAATTTCTTCCTTTTGATATCGAGTGGTGACCTTCAGCATCTGTTGAGGATACTAATATCGTATGGGGATTAGCCTCGAACAATACGAAAAGGAATGACAGTAGACAGACTTTATTTTAAAATTAAAATTACAACTAAGATGATGCTAAGATATGTGCAAACCTCCGGATCGCAGGTGCCTGCAGTAGGGAACGAACGCGCTATTGTCCTTTCCGTAACGCGTTCACCACCACACCATGCGGGTCCTTCGTTCTGCCTGTCTCTTAGCTAGTTCTATTGATCTTGTGCGATCAGCAATCACCCGTCGACGGGACTGATCTAGCGAGCACAAATCGGCAACGAACCTAGTTAAGCTGAGGCTGAAGCCGAAATCACAATCTTAACCCGGAAAGGACAATAGCGCGTTCGAAGTTTTTCATCAATAAGCACGCACAAGGTTGTTATTATAGAATTTATTAGAATACAATAGCTGACGTTTTGGCGGTTTCGCCTTCTTCCGAGACTGGAAAGGTTAAATTGAGAAGCGATCTACTCAGCCAAACACTTTCATAACCCTAGTAGATAAAACTTAACAAATAAATTTGTGTTCGCATAAGAAACAGCTTCATTTAAACACCTACCGTTTATTTGTTGTAAGTATTTAAGTTGGTTGGTGGATAGCAACCGCATAGAGTAAAACACGGGCGATAACTGTGTCCATGTCAGGTCGTCGGATTAGCCTGAGGTATGGAGCCAAGTCACGCGTGATGACAAGGCACTCCTCCTTGCGGTTCACTTTTGAATTTTTGGAATTGATCCAAAACGCTTCAAAAGTTTTACGCGCTGATGTTTTCGATTCCTGCGTGAGGATAGTGACTCCTACTTCAAAGTCTTCTCCGTTGTGTTCCTGCATCCTATGCGCGCCTAGTGGAGTGTTTGGTTTTAATTTAGATTTATCGACTAGGTGTTCTTTTATGCGGACGCAGAGCCGTCTACCCAACGTATTCGTCCCCGCACGTTTTACAAAAGATCAAATAGACTGTCTCAACCGTTAGGACAAATTATGAAGTTTTTCCTTATACATAGACGGTCATTTAGGCGGTTGCGAACTAACTGGCGTCTTAGAGTGTCCGGTGGTATTTCTATCACTATTACGGAATTCTCTAGACCGGCCCTTATTAAGCAGCGTTTTATAGCTGCACTTATTTCGTTTGAAATAAAAGACAAGAGGAACGGAGCCTTGTTTTCGCTAGAATTATCGCTCTGGGTGTGGGTTTTCCTCTAAGCCTATACCGGGAAGCTATAGTTTCGTATCCATTTGAAATGGTTATTTGGCGATTCTTCCTTTTGCTCTCTACCTGTGCACACGCTGGTGGCGGTTCGAAACATATTTCCTATAAGTGGCCTTTTAGTGAGTGAGGGATGGGAAGAGAGGTAATGAGCCACTGTATTCTTACTGCTTGGCTTTCGTTACCATTTCGTCTTGTAGCCGTTTTCGGATAGGTTGATTTGAACGTTTGGAAATGGAAGCCAGTTTTCTTTCGGTTTCTCACGGGAGAATTTTATGTGCTCTGACTGTTCGTTCAATAACTCGAAGCATTTGTCTATCTCCTCTTGTGTGAAGCAGATGACAAAACAATCACTTATATGTTTACAGTAGAGTAATGGCGTGAGATCGATTACTGGTGCTTCCACTTTAGACATAAAGGTAACGGCAAGGGCTGGTGCCAGTCGCTGTCCCACTGCCAACCCTCTAGTTTGCGCTTAATATTTCCTGGTCCATCTGAAGATCGAGCAGTTTAAACAGACCTTTAGGAGGACCATAAGCTGTTGAATCGAAGCCATACATGTTAATTGCTCCTTCGTGTTGCTCAAGAAGCTCGCGGACGGCTTGCATTGCGGAGTCATTCGACACGTTAGTGTAAAAGGCGGTAACGTCGAACGACTCCATAACGTACACGCTTTTGGAACGCGCGTTGCGCAAACGGTCTAGGAACATTTGGATGTTCGTGAGATGGGCTGCTATGTGCTTTGGTTGAGGAATAGATTTATAAAACAAGCAATCCTAACCGTAGGCCTGTCTACGCAACTGATGATGGGTCTAACTTTAAAGGTGGATGGGTCGGTAGACGCCAGATCATCAGCGGATATTAACCAATGGGTTTTGATAAGTAAGTATAAGACAAGACATGTCGGCACTTCGATCTTGAGATGCAAGATGTTTGCTAGTTTTAAACCTACTGCGCTTGCCATTTTAACTCATTCGTTGTTCAGTTTTCGATTTTGACTTCTGAATTCCTTTTCAGTAGATTCGCGATAAAGAGATGCGTTCTTCAAGATATTTTTCCGTTATATCGACATCTAACTGGCGGAGAATTACTGCAAACTCTCCACGCTTATCATTAACTGATAGCCTAATAGTCTTTGATTGGTCTTGCTGTCTAAAGAATAACCGAGGAAATAGGGGGTGGTGGTAGTGCGCCTACTTCTCGTTGTTATTTTTTACTTCTTGTCTCAATTCTAGCGTTGCTTCGGAGTCGATCTTGGAGTTCATGCAGGTTGCACGCGATCCTACGCAAGGTTTCTTTAGAAATGGGTTGCGCTGGTGAGAAACTTCGACTCAATTCTAATAGCGAGCACGAGTCATCAGGCAGAGTTATGCCTCCTAACACGGTGACCCTTGACTTTCAGGCACGTTATCGACCACATTTTTAGTACTAGAGCTTTCGTAAACGATTTTACTTTGTTTAATTGACGCTGGTTTTTGCGAATGACGTAGTAATTTTTGAAACTTTCTGCTTAAGGTTACTTTAGCATTTAACCTAATAGAATCGCAAATCAAAATTAACCCACCCACTATTCTCCTCCAAAGGGAATCCTCCAAATATTGAACACAATAAGATTCCTTCGACTTGCACTTCTTCAATTGCGCGTACATGGTGTCCTGTTTGCATCGAAGAGAGACGCGTAGTAGTCGCATCTCAATTTGACCTTTCCAGGCTCTGAAGAAGGCGAAACCGCCGAAACGTCAGCTATTGTATCCTAATAAATTCTATAATAACAACCTCGTGTCTGCTTATTGAAGCAAAAACATCGAATTATCAATCAAAGCCGAGGCTAACAGAAGGTCGGTCTTGGGAATTGCTACATAAAATAAATAAATAATAAATAAATAAATAATAATAATAATAAATTTAATAAATAAATATTAAATATTTGTTTGCTCTAACCGAGGTTACCTCTCATTATGTTTTCGTTCATTCTCATGAGGCAGCCGACTCTGATCGTCGGCTCTGATGAAGACGAAGACGTCAAAATGTTGGCCGAATAACACTGCTTATCAACCTCGTGTTAGGTCATCAAAGAAGGAACACATATAGAAGTGATAGTATTCTCAATAAAAAGTCTATAAGATGTATTATTTGTCCTTACTACTTTCAAGAGCTCATATGCATTAATGAAAACAGAGGTAGTTATTTAGCTAATGCAAATATGGTAATCTTTTTGCTCAGTGTTTTTAATGTTTCCAAGATCTTCCGAAAGACGACTGCTTTATTTGAAACAATTTCTTTGAAATTTCATCATGTTCTTCTGTTTCATGAGTTCAAACATGGACACAAAGCAACAGT